CAGCCTTAACCGTGAGTCCCTCCAATCTGCAGGTGGAGCTTCTTTTATTTTGTGGAGGATTTGCCTTAACCACTCTGAAATGTTGTTTCTACTACATGTATCCAGTCTCTTAATGTTTCTAATCCATCAAATAACAATACTCTAAACTGTGAATACACTGTTTGAGCTTCATTTCCACCATATCTGCTGGTCACATTCTTCACTCTATACTTTTTCTTAGGATGCTAGAATTTTCCTAGATCTGCTGTCTGTATCACAGTAACCTCTGATGCTGTTGATGCAATTGAATTTTCTACTATATTGCTAAGTTTCCCAATACATCTGCTTCATTGGTTTGACCAGTGCTCCCTGTGCCTCATCTCTTCTGCTGCTTATTTCAGAGTTCACGCTTTCCTCGAACTCCTTGAGTGCACACTGCCTCTGGGCCCTAGATTATATCTTCCAGAACAAGTCTTCAGCATTTACACCCAGGTCACCTCCCTTTATTGCTGTAATATTTATGGAACAGACCTAATGTCATTCCTTTCTGTTGACCAAAGCTATTTGGAGTGAAGTCTTCCACTCCTTGGCTCTCAAATACAAGATCGCTCACCTGCTCACCACCTTGCAGCACACTGGGGAAGAGCTTCCTTTTGTGTTTCAAGTCTTTCAGTGACACCTGGCACCACTGCTGCTGTGCAAGTGTGAGAAGGGGCCAATGAAGAGGTTGCACCTCTGCCCTGAAGCTTCAGTCAGATGGTGACCACCAGCAGGGGGACCCTGAACTGCCACATCCCAATCAGTCACAGGTGTTATGGTTTGTGTCTAGATGCCCCGTGCCAGAGGGGGGGAAAAAAAAAAAGGCTCATGTGCTCAGGTGGGGCTTTTTTGGAGGTAGCTGGATCCAGAGTATGTAATGCTGGGATCAGAGGCGTAATTACCACCTTCTTGCCCTACTTTGCTATAGACTGTTTACCCTCTGTGATGCCCCTTTCTCATGCCACTGTGCCTCAGAATCAGCCGACAGTGGACTGAAACCTCTACAAAATGTAAGCCAAATAAAACTTTTCTCCACTAAATTTGGTTGTTCAGTATTTCTCAACCACAAGAAAATTAACAAAGACACAAAGGAAACAAGGATTCAGGGAGGAGGCTTATGTTTGGGGATGGGGTTCTTTATCTGAAGTCCTTGGGGACAGTTTCTTTTTTCCCTGTGACCTCCATGTCTCAGTCATGATTATTTAAACAGAATGTGCTGTTGACTGCTGTACTGTTTCACTGAGATGAGCCACAATCCAGCATCTTTTCCTTTTGCTCTAGTTTGAAGCTAAGTGTGAATTTCATGATAGATGAAATATTTCCTCTCTAGCTTTAGCCTTTACACCCCTCTGTTTGCCTGCCTGGTGAGATATTTGAATGTCTTCAACGCACAGGTTTTGATGTTTTCTAAGCAACAAAGTAAAACTCATAAAGTGTCCCGTCCATTTGTTCTGTCTGCTTCAATTCCCCATATCTACACCAGGAGCCTAAGACCCAGCTAGGTGAGGAAGGAGACAGTCACTCCGTCCTCAAATGTTTCAACACAGAAACAGCAATCTTGCCAGAAACTTGATAACTTACAAGGATTTTGGCTTAGGATAAGACAAAGTCCAAAAGTGCTTATGCTACACCAGCACTCTGCAGACCAGGGAAAATGCAAGGCTGAGAAGTGGAAACACTTGGCCAGTTATGCTGAGAAAAGCAGAACTATGTGTTTGCAAGGACATGGCCGAGCCTCTCACCTTTCAAGACACATCCTGTGCTAAGAAGCAGGAAAGCATCAGGCATCCTGGGCTCAGATAGCACTGAGCATTTCCCCAAAGCTCACCCACAGTGCACCTCCATTAACCCTCACTCCAGGAATCACAACCAACATTTTAGATAAGGAAAGGAGGTCAGTGCTGGCCTCAAGAGTCCTCACAGCAGTTAGTAGGGACAGGGGGGTAAAAAACACCTTCTGTCTTCTCTCCACCCCAGAAAGTGGACTTCACTAGGACCAGGCCCAGCCTGAGTCACAGGCGTCCCAAGGTCATGCTTCACTTGGCAGGACAGCCATGGGGGAGAGGAAGAGGAAAGCAGGGGTCTGTCTTCTCTGTCCATTCAAGAACTGCTGGGACCAGGCCATCAAAATGAACTCAAGGCACAGAACTGTCACTGCTGTCATGATGGTTGGTCGAGGAGGAATCTCACTCTTGGGAGGCTGACTCTGTCAGGTAATGGAGGTGTAAGGTATGGACATACCTGCCCTCCCCAGCTGCAGAGACCAAAGAAAATAAGGTGATAACACAAATTAAAGAGTAGGGAAATAACCTGCCCACAGGGCTGGGGAGCCTGACTGATGGAAGAGTGCAGCGGGATAAGGTGGAAGGCTGTGAAGGGGCCACACAATGGGTGCCAAGGGAGGACCAGATCAGAAGTAAGGATGAGTTATGGTGCAGCACCGCCTGGGACTGGCCCCTGAGCTACAGGTCTGTGAGAGGAGCCATATGTCTCTGTCAGGGTCCTCATCACCCTTGCAGAGATGACTGAGATCCAAGTGGGGTGAAGCACAGAGGCAGCTGGTGTGAGCTGGTACGAGCTGTCAAGCCCTTCTTCCATCTGCCCACCATCGAAGTGTCCTCTCAATAATGTGGGATGAATGCTCAGAAGGAAGATAGGTCACAGAGACCTTCATGAGTCCCTCTAGCAACTGACTAGCTCTCTAGAGCTGTTGCCCCACTGCCCCCTCCATACACCAAGGCCAGGAGCAGCCAGGGGGCGGGTAGGGCTCTGCATGGCAATCAGAGTGCTGCCCAGCCTGGTTCTTCAAGCATCCTCTCGCAGGGAGGTGTGGCCTAACCTGCACAACTTTCCTTCTGGCAGCTGCCACTGACACCATGGTTCCACCTTCACGTCACCAAGAATGTAGCCTCCTGGTTCACAGCATGTCCCCAACACCAGCCAGTCTCTGTCTCAGGACCCACTTGAACGCTTATTCTTTCCCCTGGGCCTGGCAGCTCAGCTTTTCCAGCTTCTTCTCTGGCTCTCACCACCCACCTCCTGTCCTCTCCTGGCCCTTACCTCTCCCTGGGATCACTCTACCTCTTAGTGTCCAAAACATTCTTCTGTGGTTCAGATAGGCCTCCTGCCTCCACCCGTAATGTGCCATGACGTTGGCTCTTCCACCTCATCAAAACCTCTAATTTGCTAATCATGCTAATCTCAACTTCCATCTTATTTCCCATCCGAGAAACATTAAACTTTAGACTCAGCAACCTACTATTTTAATTTCTACTGTCATCTGAACTGCATGTTCCCTCTCTCTCTGCCTCAGAGTCCACTGCAAAATCCACCTCTGCAGCATCTCCAACTTAGTCTTTGAAAAACAGTGAAGGGCAAATGTGTGTGCACACTGTCCCCATGTCACGTCACGCACGCACAGCTGAGTGCAGAGTCTTGCTCTCTGCTGACCTGGTCAACTTTGGTGTGCTGCTCTGCTGTTGAATCAGCCTGCTTTTCCAAAGCAACGTGACCAAGAACATCATCCCTACCAGCAGATGGTCTCAATACACCAGGGAGACAGAAACTCCTTTCTCCTGCCATTCATTTCACCACCTAACCGTCTCCACTCACCTATCTCTTTCTGCCCTTGTGCTGCGGGACTGAGGTTCCTTCCTTCGGATCAAAGGCCCCAGTCCACCTCCTTGTCACAGACTATGTGAAAAATCAGTAAAATTCTCCCCATCCTTGTCCCTTTCCATTCTCCACTGTGACCACTGCATCTTCATGTACAAGTGTAATCTCCCACACTCTCAACACACTTGGCCCCCAAGCCTTCTCCCATGGCCACTTCATGGACCTTAAGGACCTGTTTCTTACCTATCTACTCTCCTATGTCCTATTTGCTCAACCAAGTCCAGCCTGCCATCCATTTCCACCAGTCATCCAAAGCCTCATGCTGAGAAGGCACTGGAATGTTCCATCCTTGTTTACTCAAACGCTCACAAGCACCTCACATTGTCCACATTTTACATCAATTTCCTCTCTATTCTTGGTCTCCTACCTCTCCCTTCAGAATCTCAGGATTCACTTCCTCAAGGCCCCACTTGTCTCTCCTCTCATGGTGACTGTATGACAGAGCTTTTATGAAGATCACTCACAAATCTGCTGCCACAGATCCTGAATGTCGGCTTTGAACTTGTCCCCTTCCAATTTTGTTTCCCCATTCATTAGGCTTCCCTTTCTCCACCCCGTAAGTGCCTTACATCATAGATTTAGAAGTCATCCAAGAATTTTCCTCTTCACATCCCTCCTCCCACATACAGCCCATCAGCAGGCCCATGACATCAGCATGACCTCTCCCTCCAAAGTCTCCTTCTGTCCATCTCACTGTCCCTATCCTGGGCCAGGTCACCCCTTTCTCTCACAGGAACTGAGGCAGCTTCTCCTGTCTCCTTTCTCTTGTAGCACCTCTCAGCCCACGTTCCACCCAACACCAGCCGTCATCCCTATGAAACACATACCATGCCTGAAGCCCCTGTATCATCAGATCCCACCCAGTTCTCCAGCCTTAGCAACGCTTGTTTACTAATGTCTAATTACACGAGCCTTTCCCATTTGTAGACTATGTTCCAGCCAGTTACATTTAACTACAAACTGCTAGTGCTCTTCCCTACCATCAAGAAATAGGAGTCTAATTCTTCTAGCATCGTGGATGGCCTTAAATGACTCTCCTGGCCAACAGAGAGTGTCAAAGTTATATCACAATATTGGAGGTTCAGAAGTCCCTCAATTTATACCTTGGTCTCCTAGAACACTTCCCTGGAAGCCCAGAGTTACGGAGGAATTTCCATGTCCTACGTTATCACGTGGCTGAAACCACAATTCAGGAGCTTCATACATGCTTCTGTCTTCCTCCTCACCAGCTACTTCTTATTCCTTCACTTAACTGTTCTTAAAAGAGCCCTGCCAGACTGACCCCATTCAAGTTAAAAATATGAAACTGTATCAATTTCTTATTTATTTCCTTGTAAACACGTAACAAGTAAGTGGGCATCCAATTTATACTATTAATCTTTACCCTCTACAGCAAACTTTAGTAAACTATGGAAACTGGATAGCATGCAAGGCCTGTGTTTATCATCTGGCCCTTTAAGAACTGTTTGCACATGCCTTACTCTAGGGTCTTGAAGAGAAAGGGTTCTGTCTCTCTCTTTCAGCTTTTATGGGATTTGACACATAGTAGGTGCTTAACTGGTATCTGCTGAAAAACTGAAGGGCAAGAAAGGCTCGGAGGCCCAGGCATCAGCCCCTCTTTACTGGGTGTCTTTTTGCCAAGCAGCACAAGCAGGTGCTGGGTCAGCGCCCTCTTAGTCCACAGAGACTAAGACAGCTCAAGGTCAAAGTCCTAGAGCAGAAGAACCAAGACTCACAGGTCTTAAGTACGAGGTCAACCCAAGAAGACCTTGCCACCTCCTCATACAGTTTCAGGGGAAGAAAGGGTTGGGGGTATGGCCAGGCTCTCCTGCTACTTTCAGGAACCCATGTTTGGGTCAATTCTCAGGTAAGGGTGGGCACTCTCAGGGCACAGAGGATCCTCTCCTCTATTCTTTCCAATAGGCATGGACTGGGTCAGAACCTGGAGAGCAGCCATGGAGGACAGGGAAAAGCGATGCTGCTACAGCTCTACACCAGGAAGGAGAAGAGATGGTGACAAGGCAGGCACCACAATTGCCACTTCCTGGTTCCACATGCTGGGGCTGAGGGACCATAAAACTGTGTGTGGTCACAGACTGGACATGTGAGTGTGTTCCACACTGCACACACATGTACAATGTACATGGGATGAGTTGTGGATTTCTGCCCCATGCCATGAGTTGGAGAAGCCCTCTGCTCAAAACCTACTGCACACATGTCTCCCAGTACCACCTATCTACTGTTAGGCCCAGAAGAGAACCCTCTCCAGCCCCATTCCAAGGTCCTGATTTCAGGTTCTAGGAGTCCACAGACAGTTGCCTCTACCGATGAACTGGAGTCTTAAGGCCTGGAACGGACTCAGATTTTAGGAGTCCCAAGTCTTGGAGGGCTTCCAGTAGCTCCTCCCGGGCAGTGCCAATAAAGGAATTTTCCAGGAAGGCAGGAAGGCCTCCCACACCATCCCGAAGGGTGTACAGGGGCACCCGTACCAAACCCAGCACCTGAAAAGGGAAGGAGACAGAAGGCATTGGATTACAGGTAGTTCCCCATGTTACTTCAATTCTCTTTGGAAAGGATCTCTCTAAAGGTCTTAATTTCCCTCCAAACCTACATAATGTGGCCCCAAACTCATACTCCAGGGAAGCTTAGTGAGTCCAATCCCATGCAGCCAAGTGACCCCGGGCATGCTATCTAGTTCCAAAAATACATCACTCTGAAACCTCTAGTGGCTCCTGCCTCCAGGATGCTGAAAGACCCCTAGATCTCTGGTTCTGAATTGTAGAGCTTATACTGGCTGTATCAGAACCACTTGGGAACTCATGATAAACAAATCCTTAGGCTCCTTTATTCCATTCCCCAATCAGCAAATGTAGCACTGATGCTCAGGGCTCAACTGCTTTAGCATATGTGTAACCTATGACCACACAGTTATTTCTGCTTAATACAATTTCTGCCCATGATTCTGATTCGTGCCAAAGTCTGAAAACCACCACCTGTTTCCCTGTTTCCCTAATTATAACTCTTTGGGCTGTATTTTCTACTTAAGATAAAAGGGGGCCTAATTTTAAGGGCACAGGTTGTCATGCCTGGCCACTATGACATTATCAATAGGGAAGAGTAAAGAGTTGAGGGTGGGTGTATTCTATCAAGGATACTGAGGCCAATAAAGTAGGGAGGGCAAGGACTTCCCAGGGAGAACTGATGACCTACACCCCAATTCCTCCTGAAGACTGCAAGATCAGGGGTGCTACAACTTCCTCTTGGGGAACCTAGTTAGGGAGGATTTCGCTGGAGAGGGAATCCAAGGGGGGAAGAGGGAGCCTGGATGTGGGGTGGGTTCCAGGCTGGCCGCACCTCCAGCCCATGGTCCTTGGCTCTTGGTGCTCCAGCTTCCACAGCCTCCAGCTGCTCCAGTGTCAGTCGTTTGGCATAGAAGTGAGTTACCACGCGCGGCCTAGCCCCTACATGCGAGCTGCGGTGGTCTGTGCGCTCCACGCTGAAGGCAGAGACCGCCTCGCCCAGCTCCTCGCGCAATTCACGGTTCAGTCCGTCCTCCAGGGTGTTGTCCTGCGAGTCCACGAAGCCGCCTGGGAAGCCCAGGCGTCCATCGAAGCGCATCTGCATCTGCGGGGGAGGAAGAGAAGGTTGGCTTGGTGCCCGTGCAGTGCAACCCAGGATGGGCACAGAGTCCAGGGTGGAAAGTGACCGTGCGCGCCCTCTGCTCACCAGCACAGCGTACCGCAGCGGGATGCGGCCGAAGAGCATCCCTGGGTCGGGCGCGTAGAGCAGCGCGTGACAGGCATGGCGCCAGCCAGGCCCCAAAGCTAAGGCCTCGGCCAGCCCCAGCCGCCGGACTCCGGCCATTGCAGAAAGCTCTTTCTAGTCCGGAAGCCAACGTGGTCCAGCGCGGGAGGGGGGCGGAGGGCGGTTTTCACTTTGACCAATAAGGGGCTGGGAGGGGCTGCCCCGACCAATCCCTGCAGGGGTCAAGGGCGGAACCAAAGTGCGTAAGGGCGGAGTTTTGTGCCGACGTGAGAGGCGTGGCTAACTGTCAGTGTGGGGACTTAAACCTTAGGTACAGCGAGACTCTTGGGAAATCTTGGGAAATCTTGGGAAATTGAAAGTTTCATGGAAGTTGGGCCTCAGTACGGGGTGACCTAAAGGTGACGCCAAGCCCCAGACCCGGACTGAAGTCTGTAAATAAAAGGCCACGTCACAGGGTTGTCAGGAGTTCAGGGAGGTCTGTGCAGGTGGGAAGCTTAGGGTTTGTAACCTGAGCAGGAGTTAATGGAACAACATAGAGTAGAATATAGACACAGAATGTTTAGGAAGCAAGCGTCCTGGGGCAGGGAGCAGGAAGGAAATAGGCAAGTGCGGCTTCAGAGACCATGCCTGTCCTCCTGCAGTGGAGAAGGAGAGAAGGCATTTATTTCTCCTCCAGAGATGGCATTTTCTTTTAGGATTGGTGGAGTTGAGGGGCTGACCCCACGTGGAGGCAGTGGTGGGTTTGGTGTTACTGAAGTCACAAGATACAGTGAGGTTGTCTAGAAAAAAGGGGGCAGAGGAATGCGTTATGGGTGGAACTGGCACAGAAAGGAGAGTGAGAAGGGATTGGATAAAAATCTCCTAGGTTTCCCAGGATGTTCGATGGTAAATTTGCATTGCCCTTTTTTTTTTTTTTTTTTTTTTTTTTTGGTACCAAGGATCAAAAAATGAAGCTACTCTGGGATTCAGGGTCAGGACATAGTGCTATGTCTTACGTTAATGCCTAATGCCGAGGGTTTGGAACTCAGCATCAGCCCTCAGAACTCTAAGGGGACAGGAGATGCTCCCGGCAGTAAGTCTCCCAGCTGAAACTTCTGAGCTGAGGGGCAGAGATGCCATCACTAACATCAGAAAGCTGGACCCAAGTGAGGATGAAGCCAGAGGTGTGACACTTCTACCATTAACGTGCTTCAGTTCTAGGAGGCTGGGATAATACTGGCGAAACATTAGGATCCCTTTGCAAAAAATAACTTGCAGCTGGCAGAGAATTTAGCTCAGTGGCGTAAGCACCTGCCTGGCAGGGTCAAGGTCATAAATTCAATCCCCGGTACTAAATAAATTAATTAATTAAATAAATAACTTGAAGCTTATAAAAACTACCAATTCCAGAGTCCTGTCCTGGACCACTTGAATCAGAATCCCTGTGGGATCACTGATAGTTTTTAAAATGTTTAGTTGACATCCAGGGTCAAAAACCAGTGCCATCACTCTGCCCCAGCATACCTAGGTGACTTAATTTCCCTCCTATATGTGCTGCCTTTAAGAATCTAAGGTCAGACATAGCCTTTTTTGGAACATGGGCTCCTGGTTGCTGAGGAAAGATGGATTCGGGGATTTTTAAAGATGGATTTGGGCATTTCTGAGGCAACATGAGTAACTAACTATAAAGCTAAAGATGATAGTTCGATAGATATAGGTACATGAATTAATGACTTTGCAGTCCAGCACTTTGTCCTAATGAATATGGAAGCTCTCAGTATGCCCCCACCTGGTCTTTTTAATTGCTGTCTGCATCTGTCCCCAACTCCCACCCCAAAACCTTTGCCCCACCAAGCTGAGGCAGAGTGCCTGGTAGTCAAGGCTGAAGGTAGAGGCTGAGTTACATGCTGAAGAGCTGCTCCAAGTTCTTAATGACCCTCAAAGATAAAAATAGCTTTGGTGGCCAACCATGGAGGACACTAAGATATCAATTCATTGTTTTAAAAATGAGAAAAATAATTAAGCATTTATCCTTTTTATATGAGCTGTATCTCAAACTATAAAAGTATTTTTACTAATTAATGAAGGAATAAGCTAAGCAAGTATTTACCATCTTAAAACTTTAATGAGTACTAGGGAATGATCATCGGTGGTTGCTAAAGTTACCAAAACACAGCCAGTATGGTAAACATTGTGATGAAAAAGCAAATTACCTCCTGTAAATGGTTTTGGGTTATAATCCTGAAAAATAGATCTCAAGTGCCATAATATCAAATGTTGAAATTATGAATGATCGAAATCCTTAAAGTCTAAAATCTTGAAAGATCAAAATACGTTAAAAAATAACTAAAATGTGTTTTTAAAGATACTTACTTTCATTTTTAAAGAAGACTTACTCAAGAAACATAAAAATGCAATAGAAAACTTCTAGGGCCACCTTATACAATAAAAAAGGTAAAGGTAACTATTTTTTCCCTTGACAGTCCTGGGGATTGAATCCAAATGCTCACAATATGCTAAGAAACACTCCACTACTGAGTTATATTTCCAACCCTATCTGTCTGTCTGTTCATTTGGGTTTTTTGAGGCAGAGTTGCATGATGTAGTCAAGGGTGACCTTGAACTTACTATGAAGTCCAAGTTGGCCTCACTCAGCCTCCTGCCTCAACCTTCAGAGTGCTGGAATTACAAGTATTTGACACTGTTCTTGGTGAACAAAATTAAGTTTCACAAACAGATTTATCAACAAGAGTTGCATGACTACATTTATGAACACTAAGAAATAAAACCAAAACGTTAAATGTATAAGTGTGTATCACTCTGGTAATTGTATGTACCCAGTTTTATAACTATGGGCATCTGAATCATTTGGCAGTCTTTTGATGAGGTTGATCAAAAACTGCATTAGGGGGTTGCCACTGCATATGCAGTGGCCCAAAGAGCTGAGATCTTCAATAAGTTTGTGTCACAGATGTACACAAAGAATATTTCACTTTTTGAAGAAGTTTCAGCATTTTTATATGCATGCACAGTGCTTACTCTCAAAATCAACATTACAATGATGCACTTTCATGGAATTAAATTTGCAAGACATGCATGAAACAAATTAGAATGCAGTACTGAAAATGGTGCATAGGTGGTACACAGCGTATGGAATTATTAAAAATGCCTACAATGTAAAATATAAACTTACAAAAAGAAAAAAAAAGCTGGTACATGACAAAGTGTATTCCAGGAATAGATATGGACAGTTGCACAGAGGAGGTTCACAAGAGCAAGTGGACATTGAGGATTGTTCTATTTCATAGTCTCATATCATGATGAATATATTTCTTTCTTTTAAAGTATTATTCTCTCCTGAGAATACAGCCACATTCATTTTCCACATCATGCTATTCTTTTTGAACTTCTATTATGATCTGATATTGTTATGGTTTGTGTTATGTTTTTAAATGTCCCCCCAAAGCCTCATGCAGTCGTGTGAGTAGGTGTCTACAATTTGTGATTGCTTCATGGTTTAATGCTGGGATTATGAGTGTGAGTGCTTCACCCACCCTAAGCCTACATACAACATAAGGGCAGAAAGGGTTTTCTCTCTTGTGTTCCTGCCTTGTTGCTTTTGCTGCCTTCCAGTTGCCACAAACTGTTGCCATCTGCCATGTGCCACCCTGCCATTGGAGATAGACTGAAACCTCCACAAACTGTGAGCTAAATAAACTTTTCCTTCCTAATTTGAGATGTTGGGTATTTTGTCTCAGCAACAGGAGAAAAATAACCAACACAGATATACACTGACATGATCATTCTCTAGTAAGTTTTCCCATCACATATGCTATTCTTCTACATTGCTTTGAGGAATCTATTCCCTAGGTACCAATAAATATTCCCACATTTACCCCAAACAATAGAGATGATTAAACAGCAACATCATTGCATGTCATCTTATCCTACTGTGTACATAATTGTATTCTAAATGGTTAACTCCAATTTTAAAATCCAGCTTTAATTCAGTGAAAGTGCCTGAGATGTCATTTCCTAGAAGGAATTCCAATGCAAACAAATTATTTTTTATTTATTTATTTATTTATTTATTTATTTATATATTTATTTATTTTTTTTGGTGACAGGGCCTCTCTGTGTAGTTCAGGCTGGCCTTGACACCTGCCTATTTACAGTGATCCTCCTGGAGCCTCAGACTTCCTAGTGCTGGGATTGTAGACTTGTACCTCAATGCCCAGCACAAACGAATTTTTACACTGAAGTATTTGTTGCTGTCATATTTAAGCATGGCCAATGCACTCAATCTAAATTTTCTGCCAAATATATTAAACTCAAAAAAACAAAGTTTATTAGTAACACTTGGTTACTTGATCATACCTAATTCCAAGTCTGTCATTATAGTCCATATATTTGATTGAAATCCATTTTCTTTTTCAATACCTATCAAATCTTCAACTAAGCATTAACAGTGTTTTCCCTTTCCCAGGCATTGACTCAAAGATGAGCAAGTAAGCTCCAGAATTTTTATATCCAACAGAATCATGAAGTACATATTTGATTAAAAACAGCAGGAAGAGTTTTGGAAATGCCATTTATTAGCCAAAGCGAAGCATGCACTTTTTTCTTTATGTTTGATTTACTGGTAAATATGTCTGCTTTCTTCCAATTAAACTCACCATTTAAAGTGCTTCATGTGTATCAGCCAGTGTGTTTGTTTCTGAAGGTTGCTCAATTCTTGTCAAATTGTTTTTATTCTTGGACAAAAGGGATGTTTAAATTCAAGCATGGAGCTATGTGTAAAGGGGCAGAAGTAACACAATGAAATGATTTGAAAACTACCATACGTACAACTGAAAAGGGACTGATTTTATCCTCAGAATTTGAATTCCTATCTCACTTTCAATTCCTATCTACACTTCTCCATGTGAAATCATGGTTCCCAGGACTTCAGCAGTTAGAATTATGTGTTCAGGGCTATGTCTTTTAGGGTTATTATTTGCACTGCCATTAATAATATTATTCCTTTTCTTGCCAAAAATTGAACTTCAGTGTAAATCTACCTGCCAATTTATGAAAGAAACATCAATGAATAAAACTGTAAAATATGAAGAAGAGAAAAATTCTCCATTGTAAGGGGTTAGAGTTTAATATGGTATGGATTCATGGTTAGCTT